CTCAAAGGGGAGGGGTCATCTGGCCTTGACTTCCTTCCTTCCTGACACCTGGGATGTACATGTGCAGGTTGGAGCTCAGGTAGCCATTTTTGACCATGAGGTAAGGCACCCAACATGTTACCTAAGGCTGTGGAAGCTGCCAGGCCACCGAAGAGAGAAAATGCCTGTGTGTTTAGCACACTTACCTGGGTTTTCTGGGGTGGTGGGCAGCCTGTCTTGGCTGAACTAGGATGCACTCTAACTTTATGTACATATGAACTGTATCAACACTATAACCAGGACACAGGATAACCATGGAAACCACGACTCACGGCCCCCACTCAGGGTCTGTCCTGGTCTGAGGAGCAGGGGCCAGACAAGGGCTCCAGAATCACAGGTTAGTGAGCAGATGTGTGGTGACCACATGCACATCACACATGGCATTTGTGCTTCCCAGCGGGAGTCCAGGAGCCTCCACATGTGCTGTCACATGCTGTACAGAAGAACTGTCACCAGGACCGCCCGGCTGACCCTAACCAGGGCCTTAGGGACAAATTCCCGGTCCTGGCAAACAGGTGCTAGAGGAACACGAGACAGCAGGAGGCCCATCGAGCAAATTCAGAATGTGGGACAGTTTTGAGCCCGCCCACCAGGACACTTGGAAAAGTCGCTGTCTGGGTCAGAGGGCGGCAGGGACTGCTTCCCAGGGGAAGAACCCATGCCGTGATGGCAGTCGCAGCACTGTGTCCTGACCTGCACCCTGCTCTGGAGCAGCCACAGCAAACTGCCAGGCACCCAGGGAGTTGGCTACGAGGAGAGGTGCGTAGCCCTGGGACATGCAGGGTGCTGGGTGTGCAGGGTCCGCATTCCGCTTAGAAGCCTGAACATTTCTAGATGAAGTCTGCACAAGGAAGTCTTCACGATCCCTGAACCTCGGTGGTGGTTACGTGGGGTTCCCGGCACTCTTCTTTTCATTACAAAACTTTGGAAATCAGGAAATCGGCAGGAGAGGGGACACAGGCTGCTTGGATGTGCAAATTGCCCTGAGGGATGCCCAAGAGCAGAGGGCTGCAAGACAAAGTTGGCACTGCCACCCTGTTTTATCTCCTGGAATTTCAATCTGTGAATCCAACCCACTTAAATAGGCAATGATTTTCTCCTACATGAGACGATGAAGATGGCCTTGGGATAAATGAGGAGCCCTTCCAGGCTGCAAGGGAAGTCAGGCCCAGGCAGCAGGCCCCCTGGGGACACTGTCACAAGGCGGCTATGGGCTGCCTTCCCCTAGCCTGGAAGACACTCAGCCCTCAGGAAAAGCACCCAGACTCCCAGCCAGAGGAGCCCATCCTTGGCTCTCTGCACCCTGACCCACCCAGTGTCCCTCAGCCCTACTCCTGCTCTGAAGCACCTTCCCCCTCCTCCTCGCTGCTCAGGAAGGGGTGATAGGGGCCCCGGGGGTGCAGGCGGGCACAGCCGGCCCCAGCTCACACCCCTCACCCCTGCCCCCAGGGCCCAGCCCTCCCTCCCAGGCCCCTAGAAGAATCCTGGGGAGGAGTTGGCTGACCCCACCCCAAGTGGCTGCCACTCGGGACCCACTGGCCATGGCAGGGAGGTGGCAACAGCCCTAGGTGGCTCTGCCTCACACCTGGACACACTGGGGCCAGAACGTGGGGCTCCTTTCCCCCAGCAGTACTCGGCCCCAGGATGGCAAGTGGGGAGGCACAGTGAGCAGACGGGCTGCAGCCCTGCCCCCAGCACCCTGGGTGGTGGGTGCTCCCGGGGGCACAAGCCTCTGGAGCCTGGGCCGGCCCTTGTGGAGGCACAGTCAGCTCGAGCTGGAGGGGCTGGAGCCCGTCCCTTGGGTGTCCTGCCCTCTGTGCGTCCTGCCGGTCTGTCCAGGTAGCCAGGCAGCAAGCAGCTCATGCCGGGCAGTCCCTGTCCCGCCCTGTCGGCTGGGGAGGTGGAGGGGAGAAGTGAGTAGGGCCCATTTCCATTTCCTGCCGTCAGCTGGTTGGCCAACCCCGGGCTCTGTGCGGTCAGGGGAGTTCTAGAACACTTGGACCCCTGCGACTTCCTGAAAGCTCTCTGCTGGGCCTGCAGGAGGGAGCACGAGGCTGCCGCCAGGGAGGCCCCGGAGTAAGTCCTGGCCTTGTGCTGGGGGGCAGACGGGGTCGGCCCGGGGCAGGGCCTCCAAGGAATTATCTGTGGGAGTGAGGGTGGGGGCTTGGTTGAGGGTCTTCCCCTGGCGGGGCAGGAGGGGGCCGCTGAGGGGGCGATGGCTTCTGTCCCTCCTCAGGGCTCTATCCACCCTGAACTTCTCTCCTGTAAGCGCTCCGCCTGGTTGCTGGTCCCGGGGCCGGAGTGAGGGGTCAGGGCCCGGCTCACTGCCGAGTCTCCTTGCTGTCTTCCTGAGCCCTGGGGAGCTTCCTGGGTGCCGCGTGGCTGTCGCTGGCCCTGAGGGTGTTCAGTGGGGTTGGGTTGCAAAGCACCTGGCTCCTTGTGTCCAGGGGCCACTTGGACCTGGGGAGGGACAGGCAGGACAGCGGGGTCTCTGGAGGGGTCGGTGGCCAGCCTGGTCTCGGCACGCCTCTCAGGACAGCGTATGGCACCAGGCCTGGCACAGTCCGGTGTCCCATAAATGTCTGCCGTGAGTGGCGGGCAGGGTGGGCTGAGGGAGGGCAAGTCGGGTGGGGCCGTTTTTTCTGGTGTCTCTGTACCCAGGTGGGTGACATGATGTCCCAGGGGATCCTCCAGGCAGAGGGGGCAGAGCAGAGGCGACTCAGGCCAAGGAGGGATCAGACAAGGGAGGGCGGGCACGCATGGGGCGTTAGCCTCATCAGCCTCAAATAAGGCAGACTTAATGGGTTTTCAGTGAGTGCACTAACGAAACTCTCGATGGAAAAACAGAAACCCACGCACCCTGCGCTGGGTGTGGGGAGGCAGGGGTGCTTCCCCTGCCAAGCACTCGAAGATAGAACTCAGCGATGGCCTCCCCACCCTTCATCATGAATGCAGAAGCAGAGACGGAGTCAGAGATCTGGGTGTAGGAAGACTGGAAATCACCCAAAATGTCCAGCAGTGAAATGGTCCAGAAAATACGGTGAACCCAGCAGACAGGCCAACCCAGAGGAGCCGGGTTTTCAACAAATGTGCAGTGGGATAAGGAACTGCTGCTTAAAAATGTCAAGGGAGACGTGGCAGGGAAAGAACAGAGCGTGGTGGGTGAAGGCCCCCAAGGTCCACGCCCAGGCTTCACTGAGGCTTGGTGGCCTCGCTGTCCCCTGAGACCCGGGCTGGGAGCCGCCTCCATTCCTGCATCAGGCCAGCGCTGCTCGGGCGCCGAACCACAGGTCCTTTACTCCACCTACCCACAGCCCAGGCCCGCCTCCCTGGGTCCCCAAAGGTGGGCCAGATGTGGGTGACTCAAGGAAAGGGTGGGTCCTGGTGGGGGAGCCGGGAAGGGTGGCCGGGCTGGGTGGCCGGGCTGCCAGCGTGGCGGAGCTCGAGAGCTGCCTTCCACCCATGTGCTCCCGCTGAGGCCCGCCAGAGGCCCAGAGGCCCCAGGCCCCCCGACCCCAGCCTGGGAGGAGCCTGCATCTGGGGGTGGGCAGCCCTCTCTGCCCAGGACGCCGGCCACCAGTGAGATGGGCATTCTGGGGCTGGTGGGCTGGTGGGCTAGGGACGCTGAGAGGATCGGCCCACTGCCTCTCTGTTGGCTGGACACAACGGTCAGCACCCCCACTCCACACCTAGGGCTGGCCGCCGAGGATGATGGGAGGGCCTTTTGAAGTTAGGCAGGGGTGAGGCCCTGGCTGCTCTGGGCCTTGCTCACCTCGAGGGGCCAGGAGACACACGGGGAAGAAGCTGGAGTGGTGGCAGTAAGGGTGGGAGCAGGGGGCAACCGGGAGTGGGGTTTCCAGGCCCAGGAAGAGCCCAGGCGGAGGCCTGTGGCTGCAACCTGAACCCATAGTCCGTCTGGTGGGGAACAGCAGGGACAAAGGCAGGGGGCAGGAGGAGCCCTGAGGAGTCCTGGCCTGGGCAGTGGGGCCCCAGGTGTGGGTTCCCCTGGAAGGCTGAACTGCTCTCAGGCCAGACTGCCTCACACCTGTCTGGCAGGTGGGGTTGGAGCCCGTGCGGTGACCCCTCTGGACCCAGCCTCTGTCCCGTCTGCAGGACCAAGAAGGAAGTGTGCCTGCCTGGACAGTAGAGCAGGACCCGGCGGCCCCTGTGAGCCTGGTGCTCTGGCCACACTGCCTGAGGCCAGACCTAGAGCCTCACCTCCCCTAAACCCTGTGGCTGCTCAGGACAGAGGCGGTTTTAGGGGCACGTCTGGTTAGGGAAGGAAGCAGAGAGACAAGGGGTCCCAATGCCACCCCCATCTCTCAGGGCCTGCTGTGCCTTCAGACCTGCCCCCACTGCACCAAGGGCACCGTGGACGCTCTCCTGGGTCCTGGCCCTTTCCATGGGGCAGTGTGCTGTGGCATGCCTCTGGCTCACACGCCCTTCACATCTGGGTAATTATTTCACCAGGAAAAATTCCTAGAAAGGATTTTACCTAATCAGAAGTTAAGCACATTGAAGATTTTTGGAAACACATTGCAAAACTGTGCTCTGAAAGATCTGTGCCAGCTTATGCTCCCCTCAGCACAGAAAAGGATCCCCACTTCCTCGGTCTCGTCGACACTAAGAACTAAAGCTCTTTATTTTTGCCAACCTGATAGGCAAAAAAACACCACCACTCAGATGTTTATGTTCACATTTTGTTGATTGTAAGTGGAGTTGGGTATTTTTAAAATTTTTAGTAGTTATTTTTATTTCCTCTGAGAATTATCTGCTCACTGGCTTTGAAATTTCTTATTTTTGTTAATTTTGGGGTCCTTTATATATTGATCTGCTATGTGTCCCACAGGATAGCCACAAGATTTAGCACATAAGAGATGCCAGCTAACCATTGGGCTAATGACTTAATTTGTGATTTGATCTGATTTTCCTAAAGCAATTTCCACCTGCTCTTTCTCCAGGTTACCTTACACTCTCAGGAGTCTTCCCGGGGGGACCAGCAGGACACATGACGTGTGCCCAGAAGTCCTCCGCGGAGCCAGCCTGCAGCAGGAACGGCAGACATGCCAGGTGAGAGTGCCTAGCCCACGCCTCCCCTGGCTTTAGACACTTAAGAGGGAGCCCCAGAGAATTTTCTCACAGTACACTTTGTCTTATAACAGGTAATAACCTCAAAAATCAGTGTGTAAAAGCAGATTTATCAAAATAAAAGCAAACTCAGAAACAGTAAAGCCAGAGGCTCTCCATCAAGGTACCAGGAAGTACCAATGCCTTAATTCTTTTGAAGTGCTAGACACGCCAGGAATGGGCCTGGGGAGCACTGGAGCCTCTGGGATGTCCATCTGGACTTCACAGTGTGCCCATTTCTTGTGAGAGACCCAGTGTTGAGCCAAAGAGCTGCCACCGATGCCCCACGGGAGCCACGCCACTTCTCCTAGGGGCTCACCTGTCTTCACTGTCCTCTTCTCCCACAAGGTCAGGGTCCACGTGTGCACCTGTTGGGGGAGGGGCATGCTCTCATCTGCACTGGGCTGGTCAGCTGATTGGGTGTGAAGGTGGGACCTGGCATGGCAGGGTGACCACCAGAGGCTGCGTGGCCCCGAGTCGGTGATGTGTTGGAACTGTACTCAGAGCCTGGTAGCCAGGCCCCAGGGCAGGCAGTGCTGGGGGTGTGTAGGGAGCTGGGAGAGTTCCAGAGCCACTCAGGGGGCTGAGGGCACCCAACCCCTCCATCCATATGTAGGGATGCGGCATGTGTCCAAGTTTAGTGGGGGGGGGACAGAGAGGTGAGCAGCAGGACCACCTCACAGCCATTAGGGTGGCTACTCTAAAAAAAAAACCCAAAATATCAAGTGCTGGTGAGGATGTGGAGGAACAGGGTCCTGTGCGTGGCTGGTAGGAGTGTAAACTGCTGTAGCCACTGCGGACAGCACCCTGAACATTCCTCAAAATAGTGAAAATAGAGCTACCGTGTGATGTAGCAATCCCCTCCTGGGTACACGCCCAAAATAACTGAAAGTGAGGCCTCAGAGAGAGATGTGCACACCAGTTCTCACACAGCATGACTCACTGCAGCCGGAACGTGGGAGCGGCCTGGGCATCCAGGACAGATGAGCCCGGTGTCCCCGCCACGCCACGGCGGGGTGCTGTCCAGCCCTTGGCACTGATGTCCTGACACCTGCCGCAGCGTGCACACAGAAGGACACCCCTGTGTGATTCACTCACGTGGGGGCCCCTCGCCGGCAGGCCCACAGCGACAGGAAGTAGGAAGGGGTGCGCTGGGGCTGGAGGAGGGGTGGGGAGTGTCTAACGGGGGTTAGTTTCAGTTTGGGAGGACGAGAACGTTCTGGAGATGATGGTCGTGGTGGCTATGCTGCTGAGCTGTGCACTTAAAAATGGTTAAAATGGTGAACTTTATATTGCGTGTGTTTTACAAGAATAAACAAAATCAGGAAGAGCCGGTGGGTGGCACGAAATAGCCTCAGGTTCATGCTGTGGGCTGCCTGCTCCATGCTCTGGGGACCAGCTATTTGGCTCCATGACGAGCCTTCAGCCAAGGAAAAAAGTGGTGGGCTGGGCACTGCCCTGCCCCACTGTGGGCACAGGCAGCTGGGACCTCCAGGCAGCTGCACGCCCGGCCAGCTGCACACAGTTGGCCAGGACACTCCAGGGTGCTCCCAGCATTCGGGATGCCCAGGGTTTTCCTTACCAGTTGGACATCCATATGAAGAGGTCAAGGGGTCATTATGCCCAGACACTAAGTAACACAAGTGCCTTCTAGGACTCAGGCTGGAGAAGCGACAGCCACCTCCCGTGCTGTCACTGCAGCCACACCAGGCCTGTCCCCCCACTGTGCAGTCCCCCTGCCGATCACAGAGGGGGGGCAAGGGTAGGAAAGGCTGAGTACAGGGACCCGCGCTCCCAGCAGGCCAAAGCCAGGAGCACAGGCTCCCGGGAGACAGGGCCCGACGAGGTGCAGAGGGAGACACCTGCATTGGGGACCCCCAGGGCAGCCCAGGTGTGAGGTCTGGCTGGCAACCCGTCCCAGCGTAAATCTGAGGATCCCCTCCTGCTGGCCACTGGAGCTCAGGTGGGGGTCCAGGTGACTGGTGTCGGCAGGCTCATGGCCTCTCTGAGCACAGCCCCTTCCACTCAAGGAACCTCCAGGGAAAATGCCCCACCAAACGTGAGCTCCCAAGCCAGGAGAGGTGCGAGGGGCCAGCCCCGCGGGACTGGAGTCCCCCTCGGAGACCCCAGGTGCCGGGAGGGTCCCACGGAGTCCAGATGGTGCAAAGAAATAGGAGAGAGTGAGAACGGAGCAGAGCCAGCGGCGACCCCGACAGACGTGAGAGGCCAACAGAACTTCCAGAGCCAAAGATAGTCTTTGAATTCCAAACTCCATGAACGAGTCAAAAAAAACACTGATTAGGCGTCAAGGGAGCTCAGGACAGAAGCTGAGATGCTACCAGCTCACCCAAGAGCATCACAGAACAAGGGAACGCGGGCGGAACATAGAGGGCGGGGCGGGGAAGGGGCGTGGCCAGAGCGAGGGGCGGGGCGAGGGCGAAGTGAGGAAGGGGCGGGCAGTGGCGAGGGCGTGGCCAGAGCGAGGGGCGGGGCGGGGGCCGCTCGGGTCCCAGACGGGAGGGTTTCCGTGGGTGTGAAGGGCCCGCCCGAGCCGCAGGAGGCAGCAGTGGGTGCCGCCCCGAGCGCGGGACATGCGCCGTCTGGGATCCAGAAGGCCCAGGGGCACGACAATGAACCAACGGCCGCCTGCTCGCCCAGCCTTGGGAGCCAGGAGACAGGAGAGCAAGGGCCTCGACGTGCAGCAGCTAGTGGACCCGCAGGACCCCGTCTTCAAGAATCGGGGCAAAAAGTCATTTCAGATGGACAAGAGCTGGGGAGAGTTTGCACCAACGGGCTTTCGATGTCAGAATTTGTCAAGGTGGTCCTCAGGGAAGGGCAGTGACCTCAGAGAGGCCATAGGAAGACGGGGAGCGGCAGGCCGGCCGCCGCGGGCTGGTACCCACAGGGGAACCATGAGGAATCACGACTGCAAACACATCCAACTTGTGGGGTTAAAAGCAAACGACTCCAATAACTGGACCAGAATCGCCCATGACCAGACGAGGGGCGTGGGGTGCCTGCAGGCAGCTCGCAGGGTGAAGGCTTTGATTAACTGCGGGCACTGTTGAATACACACACTAACATTTCCGGGGGAATCTCCGTAAGATTAAAAAGAGACTTAATCATTTCCAAACCAAAGGGAGGTGGGAAACAGTAAGAAATAAACTCAATAAATCCAAAAACAGATGCCCTTGTCAGCACGGGCTGCTGTCCAGCACAGCAGGGGGAGCGGCTTGAACCGCAGACGCGTGGTCACAGCCTGAGGTCGGGGTGCCAGCAGGTCTGGTGCCTCTGAGGCCTCCTTCCTCGGCTTGCAGGTGCCCTCACATTACTTCCCTCTGTGTGTGCCCCTGCGTCCAAATGTCATCTTTTTTATAAGGACACCATGGACCAGCACCCATCCTAATGACCTATTCTAACCTGATCACCTCTGCAAAGACCCTGGCTCCAAATACAGGCAACATTCTGAGGTCCTGGGCGTGAGGACACATCCTTTTGTGGGCGGACACAATTCCACCCTTACAGAAGGCAAACAGGAATAAAATTAAACAGAAAAAGCAGACAAAAGAGCACAAAACAAGATGGAGAAAACAGATCAAAAGACAGCCACAATATTATAAATACAAATGGACCTGACTCAATCCTTAAAGGCAGAGTGTCAGATTTTTTAATTCAGCCATAAACTTTTTTAAGTGTCACATCTAAAACATAGGGACACAGATGGGTTGGAAGTAGAAGGTTGGAAAAAAATATACCAAATAGACAGCAATCCACAAAAGTTGATGTTTTTCATACCAAATAATAAGCAAGACTTTACATGAAAAGCACCATTAGAAATTATGTTACTATCCTATTGTTTCTGTAACAAATTACTACAAACTTAGAGTCTTAAAAAGATGCAAATTTATTGTCTTTATTTTTCTTGGGATCCAAAGTAAGAAATGGGCTAAAATAAAGGTGTGGGCAGACTGTGCCCTGTCCAGGGGCTGCTGGGGAGAATCCATTCCTGGCCTTTTCCAGCTGCTAGAGGCACCTGCTTCCCTTTGCTTGTCCCCCTTCAAAACCACCAGTGCGGCTGGCAGAAGTGTTCTCACATCGGATCCCGCCATTCCCCTTTAATTCTCCTGCGTTCAAGGACTCCTGGGATTACACTGGGCCTGTCCAGCTAATCCATGATAATTGCCTTATTTTACTATTGTCAACTAATGAGCAAATTGAACCCCATCTGCATCTTTAACTGCCCTTTGCCATGTAACCAGAATCACACACAAGCCAGACAAGCCACCACGGTCGCAGGTTGTGGGACTAGGAGGTGGACATCTCTGCGTGGGGGAGGCACTATTCTGCCTGCATAAATGAAGAGCAAAATGGCGTGATGGTACAGGGGTCAGTTCGCTGGGAAAACAGAACCGTATTTAACTCATACGCAGCGATGAACCACGTAAGGCCGACCTTGAGAGAACTCCATGTTGAGGTGAACAGATCGCCCGTCACAGCAGGGGCGGTCAGTCATTGTTCCCAGTGACTGATGGCTGGAGCAGGCAAGAGGTGGTGAGACTATAGACTGGGACGAGGCCGGGCCTGAGCTGGGGGGCTGGCGCACAAAAGCTGTGAAGAAGCAGAGGCACCGTCTCTCAGGACTGACCCCGCTGTCGGGGTCGCACAGAGGAGGGTATGTGCTCAGCAATTAGCCAATGACCTTTCTTCCTGAGCATGCAGACCACACTTTTGAAGAATGACCTCAGGGAGCTGCAGGGACTCAGCGTGGCACAGACTGTGCTCTGTCCGTGATGCCACCAGTCTAGAGGTCGATGCCTACGATCACTTTAGGACGCTCACTGGGTTCGGGCACCTTTAAACACTTGGTGTGTCTAGTCCGGAGTCACCCTGAATCTTATCTGTCCTCAACCGTTAAGTCTCTGAGAGGAGGTTCCCAGGGACGCCCGTCCTCACCCTGTGTCTGTCCCACAGGAAACACCACCCTGGTGACCAGCCCTGGCCCCGGCGTGCCTCTCCTAAACTGCAGCGTGTCCTTTGAGGAGAGCAGAGTGTTCCTAGTGGTGGTGTACAGCGTGGTGTGCGCCGTGGGCCTGCCCACCAACTGCCTGACCGCCTGGTTGACGCTGCAGCAGGCGCTGCAGGGCCACGTGCTGGCCGTCTACCTGTTCTGCCTGGCGCTGTGCGAGCTGCTGTACAGCAGCACCTTGCCTCTCTGGGTCATCTACATCCAGAACCAGCACCGCTGGACCCTGGGCCCCTGGGCCTGCAAGGTGACTGCCTACATCTTCTTCTGCAACCTCTACGTCAGCATCCTGCTCCTGTGCTGCGTCTCCTGCGACCGCTTCCTGGCGGTGGTGTACACCCTGGAGAGCCGAGGCCGCCGCCACCAGAAAACCGCCGTCCTCGTCTCTGCGTGCGTCTTCGTTCTCGTCGCGCTTGTGCACTACCCGGTGTTCAACATGCCCGACAGGGACACGTGCTATGAGACGCTGCCGATGGACGGCAGGACCGCCGGCTACTACTACGCGCGCTTCACCGTCGGGTTCGCCGTCCCTCTCTCCATCATCACGTTCACCAACCAGCGCATCCTCAGGAGCATCAGGCTGAGCTCGGGCCTGGGGGCCGCCCAGAAGGCCAGGGTAAAGCGCTCGGCCATCGCGGTGGTGGCCATCTTCCTGGTCTGCTTCGCGCCCTACCATCTGGTGCTCCTGGTCAGTGCTGTCGCCTTTTCCTACTACAGAGGAGACGCGGACTCCGTGTGCGCCTTCCAAGCCAGACTACACACGGTCTCTGCCGTGTTCCTGTGCCTGTCCACGGTGAACAGCGTGGCTGACCCCATCATCTATGTGCTGGCCACAGAACATTCACGGCAAAAAGTGTCCAGAATCCACCAGCAGTGGAGAAGCTGGCCTGCAAGGACTGAAGGACCCAAGCTCGCATGTTTGAAGGACTCCGAGGAAGCACCAGTGCCCATGTTGCTCCCAAATGGCTACAGGCTCCCTAGGTCAGTCCACCCACCAGGGTCCCAGCCTGGGGGCTCACGGTGTGTCCCCGAGGGGCTGAGTGAGGGATCCTGCTGAGCCCAGGGCACTGCAGGCGGGATGTCCGGCACGGAGTCCGGGCCAGCAGCAGCTTTCCCATGCACTGGCACGGACAGCCTGTGCCTGTGGTGCTGGCCCCGGAGCCCCCTCTGGAAGACACACCACTGATGTCTCATTCCTGGAGTCATGCTCCCCGTGAGCCTCTGCCCATGGGGGTCCCAGCCCCCTGGGCTTTCCCACGGGGCCCCTCATGGAAGGGGGCAGCATGCCCAGGGTGGGCGAGGCTCCCAGGTGGCAGGGAGCCCAGGAGGGCCTCTTAACCCCTGCTAGTTCTGGCTCCCCTGGCTACTAGCAAATGGCAGGGCGGTTGGCAAAGGCCATGTGTCTGCTTGGTGCTGCCAGCAGCTGGCATGTGCCATGCACACCATAGGTGCCCAGTCAGCATCCAGGGTAATGACTTCATTCTCTGTGCTTTTCAGCAAGTGCTCTTGGATGGCATCATGGGGCCTTTGTGCTCCTGCCTTAGAACGTCCAAACCGTGTCCCTTCAAGCAGTGACTGGCCACCCCGGGATAGCCTGGGGCCTAAGGAGCAGGAGCCCAGCCCCAAGGGCCCTCGGCCGGGCTTGGCTGTGCCGACCAGGTCCGAGGCCTCAGGCCGCCACGGACCGTTAGGGGAGCCATGGGGCAGAGCACTAGCTCCTCTGGCTTCCGGCAGGGCGACCCGCGTGTCTACCACAGGAGGCCCCGGGTGCCCACAGCCCCTACGCCCGTCGGCTGGAAATGCTGGCGGACACCCCAGGAAGGGAGACAGGTCTGCCACCAAGGCCCAGAGTATGGCTGGATGTCCTTCATTGTCAGGGGAGAAGCTGGCAGGGGGCTCTGGACAGCAAATCAGGGTCCAGCGGGTGACGACCCCGAGGCCTCTCCGAATGGAACACGGAACTGAGTCTGATGCACGGCCGTGGAAAAGTCGGCCCCCTGGAAACCGCACAGCTTAGCGTCAGATCCTGGCTCGGCCCTTGGCAAGCCTTATCTAGGCCAGGCCACACCGCTGCCTCAGTTTCTTTGTCTGTACCAGGGCCAATGACACCTACCTTAGCGGGTCAGTGTTGGGGCTGACCCACTACCTCTGCTTCAGGCGCTCACTTTACAGAGGCCAGCAGCCCAGCACCTCTCCCCAGAGGCCCAGGCACCCCAGGGAGACCCAGGTAACCCACAGAGGCACACACGCCCCGTGGAGGCCCAGGCTCCCTGAGGCCCACGCCAGGCATGGCACATGTATGTACACGTCACAGACACTGTGCTGCCATCATGTGATGATGTCCTTGTGTCCCTAGGGCGGCCGTCATTGTCCACCGTGAGAGGTGTTCACAAGACACACTTGGAAAATATGCTTAGAAATAAAAACGATTTTGTGTATTTTTATACATGTCAGTCCCAACTTCCTTTTTAAATGAAATGATGTCATCTTACCTTTTTGTGTAGACATTTACCTCTAGGGCTGTCTTGGAGGGCCCATCCCACACACCGCGGGCTCCCAAAGTGATGGGCCGGGGGTCTAGGAACGGTCTGGAATATTCAGGGTGGGTTTGTGGCCCATCATTCCCACCTCTGCTCCCAGCCCTATGTGGCTGCCTCCTCTGTGTCTCTATGTCTCTCTTTGGTCTCAAGAGCATGGCCGCTTGGACACCCGGTGCTGGCTCTGCGGGGTCTGTGGTCATCCTAGCCATCGTGCTCCACCTGCCTCACGGGCACCAGGTGACCAGGCTGCCCAAGGACCCTGAGCAGGTGCTTCCCCCAAATCCCAGCTGGTGGGCCCTCCTGGGTCTCTCCAGCCCTGAGCCTGAGGAGCAACCCCAAGCTGCCTAGGTCCCAACACCCCAGTACTGCCCCAGGACCTGGGTTTTTGCACAGGAGAGGACATGTGGACTAACCACGAGGGGGCGAGCTCTGCACCAGGGACTTGGTGGAGGCCACCGCCTATAATCGTACCACACTCCTGGGAGATGGGGAGGGCCTCCTGTAGTCCCGGTGGGGAGTCCCAGGCCCAGCTGCCTGGACACAGGGGGACCAGAGTGGGCGGGGCCAAGGCTGGCTGGGGCCAGGGTGGAGGGCTGGGGTGGTGGGGCCAGGCTGGGGTTGGCCACGGGTGGTGTCTCTAGGTCTCGTGCTTCCAGCTGCAGTGACGAGGCCAGCAGCACGGGACTGTGAGTGTCCACCAGGTCTAGGAGTGGACGGCGAGGGACAGGAGGCCCTGTTTGTCCTGGGGTACAAGCCCTTACCCCACTCTGTTCTGCCTGGAGTCCCACGCTGTCGCTGATGCTTCAGGGAGGGGGGCAGGAGCAGAAAGTAGTTTGGGGGCACTGACGCCCACAGTGCCTGAGTCTCCTTGCCCTTCTGTCACCCACCCCTGCGAGGCGCCCAGCACAGGCTGGTACCTCCCCTCTCACAGCCCCTCTACTGTCCGATGCGCCCGGGGGCCCTCTCCCCGTCAGGAGCCTGCCCAGCCTCAGCACTCCCTGAACGGCCCGGGACTCCCGGGTGATGGGCACATGGTCCGGCCTGGACACAGTCCCCTGGTGAAGGTGGGCGCCCGGACGCCCTGCCGCCCCAGCTGCCCCTGCCCTCGGGCCCTCCCACCGCCTCTACACTGACAGGACTGGGAAGACACACCTGCTTTTGGGGATAAATAAGCCAAACTTCAGCTCGAAGCACTTGTTCTTTTAAATGACAGAAAAGACGAAAGAGAGAACCTGGAAAGTGTGGGGCCCAGGTGAGGCCTGAGGCCTGCCAGCACAGCTGCCCATGAGGCTTCATGGGCACCCACTCCGGTGCGGGGGCGTAGGAGCCGCTGGCATAGCCCGGCCTGGACACCGCCGCCTCCCTCCCTGACCTGGGACGGTGTCAGAGGACCACCCGGTCCTGGGCGTGTGTCGTGTGGCATGGCTGGATGAGGCCCCCAGCCTCTAGCAAGGGGATCTCACGGCTGATTCATGGCCACCTCTTCATACTCAGGCTGGGATCTCCCACTTAGGTGGATCTTTAATTCCACATTTTGGTTTTTGGCTGGTCAATAAACAGCCCTTCCTTCCTGTGCGGGATCGTGTCAGCAGCTCACTGGCCACCCAGGCCGCCCGGGCTGCTGGAGCAGGGCCCAGGTCCCAGGCCGCCTGCTGCGCCTGGCACAGTGACTGTCGGGCTATCACCAGGTGGGAAGGCTGGTGGGGGGTCCTCCCTGGGGGCCTCAGAAGGGGCCTGCAGTGATGACATGGGGCCGCATGAAATCAGAACATGGATACCGGGAGGGACAGTGATGGCTGGGTACCAGGAGAAGCTCTGTGCTGAGGGCCCAGCCAGCTCGGACATCTGTGCTGACACACAAGCTGGCACTCGCCTCAGTGGGGGTGGGGGACACTGGGAAGGGGGACCGGGCTCCTGCCACGTGCCAGCTCAGTGCTGGACACAGGGGAACCCAGGGAGTGAGGCCAGCCCTACCCTGGAGTCTGGGACCCTGGGGGGCAGCAGGTGGGGTGCACCTAGCCCAGCTGGATGGGGGCAGTGTTGGGGGGTGGCAGGCAGGGGCTGGCCAGCGGTGGAGGCGCCCTTGGCCCAGGCAGCCCGCACCGCCCGCTTCCTGCCACGTCCCCCTCCTGACAGCGTGAGCAGCCACCGACCACAGACCTTTCCCCCCTTCCTCTGACTCGTGGTGCTGTGGAAAGTCCTCGGGCTAGCCCGGGGTTACTGAGGGCTGAGAGCCGACCTGGCAGCCGGGTGAGTCCTACACCCACCCACCCATCCCACATTCTCACTCCCCCAGCCCCCCATTCCTTCTCCTGCACAAAATGCTCCCCATGGTCCCCAAGGGACTGAGGGAGGCAGGTGCAGTGAGACCCACCCTCGCAGCCCGGGGTCTGTGCAGGGGGTGGGGGCTGAGGGGGGATCCCTGAGACCCCTTGGGGTGGCCCCGCCGCCTTGAGCATGCCACCCTTCACACCTGGCTCTTTCTTTCCTCAGGTGTGTCCCCAGACTAGGCTCCCAGGGGAGAGGCCACCCCGCCATTTTTTCACTGCTGTGTCCCAGCTCCTGGACAGGCCTGCTCCTAAGCAGACCCCCTGTTGTCACTGCCTGAATCTGGACGTGAGGGATAGATGGCCGCGCACCGCGCCAGCCCCGGAGACCCGCCCTGGCTCTGCTGACAGGTCCAGACACTGAATAGCTACCGACCGGTCTTCAGGACCCTGCCGCCTGACTCTCTCCAGCTCCCAGACCTGCGGCACAGACCCGCACGAGTTCAGGGCAGGTCGCCTCAGCCCGCCCTCACCCCAGCTGGCCCTGAGCGCGGCTACAGCCACTGGCACGCCTCCTGGGTACCCCACCTGGGGGGTGGACCGAGGAAGGTGCCCCACGGGCTGGGAGTTCTGGGGTCCCGTGGTCTGGAGTTGGTCTAGGAAGGCGGTACAGCTCCCCGAGGTTAAGTCCCAGCCCCAGGCCTCCCTCGTGTGAGGGACGTGGGAGGGGAAGGCGCTGGAGGTGCCCCACATGCCAGGCCCGCTGGAGCTTGCTGGCCCATGGCTGTGGGACACTAGCACCGACCAGAGCACCCAGACCTGGTGGGGAAAGAACCCCGGGCCCAGACTGTTCCAAGGCCGTCTGGAGCCCCCAAACTTCCAAGGACAGCTTCCTTTGACAGGTCATTTCACTGCTCTGGGCCAGTTTCATCACCCATATTTGGACTGTCCACAGTATCTGCTCGGGGCTGCAGGGCCCCTAACTAAGATCACATATGTCCTGCATGGAAGCCAGCCTGACACAGTGCAGGTGCTTAAAACGAAGCCAGACTCTCACCCTGGCTTCCTCGGTGGCCTTTTGCTGGGGCCAGCCAGCATGGAAAAGTCACTCAGGACCAAGGCCCATGGGGCCCCAGTGGCACCCCCAGAGGAGCCCTGGGGGCCTGGCCGTGTGGTCCGTCCCCACGGGACCCCCAGGACTGCTGTGAGGGAGGAAAGCGCGTGGGACCACCTGGGGGGCATGGGCAGCCAAGCCACCTAGGGCCCAAAGCGGGTTGGCAAAGAGAAACAGCAGCCCTGAGTCCCGGTGACCAGGGACAGCCACACTGCCCTTGACGGTGACATCAATGCGGAGCCCGCCTCAGGGGAACTAATGTGGGGAAACCACAGGGGCCGCCTACGGGAAGGCAGGGCAATGGCCGAGCGCCTGTGCCTGCAAGGCCCACGGGCCTGCGCACTCTAAGGGCGGGAATACATCGAAAGGGCTGTTTAAGAACCTGAGACACATCTGACACACACTCCCATCCCGACCGCAGCCCCAAAGCCCCCATGGGACAGTCTGGGGTCGCCACAGCTCAAAGGAAGGAGGGCTGATAGACCTCAGTCCCTGGAGCCCCCACAGGCCCCCAGCTGTGGCTCTGGGGTTGCACGGCCCCCAGTGACACTGAGAGGCCCCTGTAGTCCCAGGGAGCTGGGAGGCGGAGTGGCTGAGGGACCCCGTGGGCTCTGCCTGGGCCCTGCCCGCAGCCTTGCCCTGGGGCTGTCAGGCGGGGCAGTGAGCGGGCACCTGCTGCTTCTGCTGCTCAGGAGAGTGATCGTTCCTGATTCGCCTGCAGAACAAACCCACCCAGCCCTGCCTGCCCTCTGCCTCCGGGTTTGGGCCCCAGGTGGGCTCTGGTTGCTTCTCAACTGTCACTCTGCATCAGAATCACTTGGTGAGCCTGTTACAGCCCTGAGGGATGGACAGGCCCCTGCCCCCAGGGGTCTGAGTCAGAGACCCTGCATCCAAGATGAGTTCCCTGGAGATGCTGCTCCCAGCCATGCAGGCCCACACCCTGAGAACCTCTGGTCTCCGCCAAATGCCACTGGAACGGCATGTGTCCACTTCTGGCCAGTGAGGGGTGGGGCAGGACTTCAGCTTGCCTCTTGGAGGAAAGGCCCTTTCTGTCCCTGGACCTGCTGTGAGACTGGAGGGAAGGTTCCAGAGCTGCTGCAGCCAGTCTGATGCTGTGGGTGAGGCTGTCTAAGTAGGAAGCCCACACACAGGGGACGGCCTTTGTGCCCTGTACCTGCCCATCCCGCGTATCGGCCTCTTTAGGGGTTGTGGTGTTTGCCACCACCCACCTCAGTTCCTGTGCCCAGGGCCTGCTCCTCATCAGAAGGTGTGCCCGCCATACCCTGCTGCGCCCCTTCCTCTCCTTCAGCTCTGTCACACTGCCATGGCCCCATTCCTTCCTCAGTTTCACAAGGACACCGTTTTCTTTCCTCCACTGTCACATCCATGTTTACTTACACAGGTTGCACAACAATGCCTTCCCCTTGCAAACGTGTGGGTCGCCCGCCACAGGCCGTTGACGTTCTTTTGATTACTGCCTCTGAGTCCGTTTTCCTCCTTTGAGGTCATCACTTCTGCACATCCT